AATTTTGAAAGTTTCCAACTTTATTTTACATCGAAATTCGAGCCCGATCTAGATAAATTTTTGAGGATATATCAAGACAAAACAACCTCAATGACATTTTATTATTTGATTTCGATTTCCATTACAAGGATTATCTATGCCCATAATGAAAAATAATCACTGGCTAAGAGGTTAAAAAAGAAAAAAAACTTGTTTCAAGGAGGATATATGGTTTATACTACCAATAATACAATGCCCCAACTCTGAAAAAGCCATGATACCTTTATGATAACAATATATTAATAGACTAATATAGGCATACAAATAGATTTAACATTAGGAAGACTTCTTAGTTTGCTCCATGCAATCTTTGTCCATGTTGACAAAATAATTCTCTATCCTTTTATATTGGTTTTATATTAGAGCATGGGCGGATCCCCACTCATGCGAGGCTCGGAAAATGTCCGCTCAAAAAAAAAAAAAAAAAAGTATAAGAGGCGTGATTTTGGAATTCTGCCTACCTCAAAATTATTTTTTGCACAAATATGATCTATCTCACGTTGTTTGCTCATCCATCCGATATTCCGAGCATTTCCTCTTTGCGAAAAAATGATAAAAATTTCTTCTTATAAATTTGATAGCATTATGTTGGTTAAATTTTTTAAAAATCTATTTTATTATTATTACTATTTCATGTTAGTATTATTATTATTGTTATTGTTGTCCTCTAATTAATTAAAATTTTGTCCTCCCTGAAGAAAGAAGCTGAATCTGCTCCTATTAATTAGAGTGAGACAAATATGTACTGCAATGTATTTTACAAATATTTACATAGCCATTTTCACTTCAAAAAAATTTGGTACAACAATCCTTTATGGCAGAAGAAATTATGATAGAAATTGTCAATGATGATGGCATATTATGTTGACATTCATCTGTTTTGTGATGAAATGGACAATTCTTTGAATATGATGTTTTCTTTGGAGTAGCCAATGAAAGGCTCTCTTTCTCATTGAATACGTTCTCATAGTTTGTGCCACATAATGCTCCATTAGTAATGCTGCACTAGTAGATGAAGAAATTATTATGTGAGGAGGTCAAACGGCGAGAATCATCCGAATTTGATGTCTTTTAACTATCATTTTGCTACTCTTTTGCAAAAATTCAGCAAAAAAGTAGCAAAAGTGCAATTATGAATGCATATTTGTTGCACTTTTGCTGATTATTTGTAAAAGCGTAACAAAAGGGCAGCTAAAGCGCACCAAATCTGAAAGTTTATCATCTTCCGGTCTCCGCACAGAATAATTTCTTAGATAGAGAAATTATGTAATAAAAAATATTTTATTGAGAGGTTTCCCATCACAAAGGTTTAGGCTTCGTTTCAGACATTTTTTTATTGTATTTTAAAATAATTTTTTATTATAAAAAATTTTAATTAATTTTTTTATCAAAAAAATATTCTATAAAGCAATAAGAAAGCCGTGCCAAATGAACCCTACTATCTTATATCCAACATTCATCACAAATCTTTTGATAACTTATTTCTTTTAGTTATAGAATCTCCCACACAACTAAGTATTCTAGTTAGTTTTGTGCCTATTATAAATATTATAAATCCTCCCTACACACTGTCAACACCCTCAAAGTGGGCGAATAATTATGTCCGGTTACCGGACGTCACGCGCCACGTCACCTGAATACACTGGGTCCCGAAGTATTTTGGTGACGTGGCGGGTCTGAATTGGTGTTCGGACAAATCCGAACACCGGATGTAATAATTATATATGTACATTTTTAGCATATAAGCTCATGTGACATGTAGTGTATAAGAGAAACTTAACATAGGAGATCTGGTTTTCAAAATATTTTATCTTTTAATTATATATAATTTATAGAAATTAGAAAGTGTTTACAATTGTGACTTAGGTGGGTTAGTATATATTTATTAATATATAACTATTATATATGTCCCCAAACTTTGAAGCCTTTATTTTTCTTACCATGCCTTTAGGAAGACATTTAGCTTCCTCATAATTGTTTTCTTAGGAGCTGTTTAATTTGAAATAAAATGTATTTAAATAAATCCTTTAAGATTGGTTTTGAAAATATTTATGTTTGATTGAATGAAAAAAATATAAATAAAATGTTTTAATTCATTTTCAAGTAAAAAAAAAAAACTCACCTAATTTTAGGTTAAAAAAAAAAATTTTTCATCACTAACAAAGTTTATTGCCACCACCAATCATCACGACCCGCCACTATTGCCCATTATGACCACTCTCTTCAAATTTTACATTAATTTTAATTCAATTCAAACAACCAAAAAAATAAAATTCCATCTGCATTTATTTCACACTGATCCAAATAACTTCGTAATATTCTTTTTATTAATTTTTTTTGCACCACATTCCTTTTTATGCTAACAAATTAAGCACACTAACTAATATTGGCTAATAGAAAGATGAACAATAGCAAGATGAATGGCTTAAAAAGCTGGTCTTAATATAAATATTAAAACTAATAATTAATGAATTGCATCAATTTTTTTTTAAAAAAACTATATAATAAATTTATGATCCATAAGTAGATTAATTTAAATCATTATATATTTCTCCATAAAGCATTATCATTATTAATGCCCAAGAAAGACACGCCTCTCTACCAAAGGAGCTTTTATTTGATCCGGTGAAAGGACGTAGAGCTACGTTCAGCCGGCACTAAATCGAACCACATAACAAGCACAAAATCATGTATTTGTCAATTTTGCTCGGCAATAACGAGAAATACCATTATGTGAAGACAAATACCGAGCAATATCGAGTAATACTGTGCAACACCGAGCAATATCGATTTTTTTCTAGAAAAACTCGGTATTGCTCTGTATTGATCTTCACAGAGCGGTATTTCTCATTATTGCCAAACAATACTTAGCAATACCGAGCAAATACCGGATAACTCAGTTGTGACCGAACGTAGAGCTATGTCTGGTCACCGGACCTAATAATTGTTCCTACCGAAGAGTCTCTCCTACCAAAGAAGGAGCAAAGCTAATTATCACATTTAGGATTCTCTTAGGGCAGCTTTTAATCACTACTTTTTTCTACTTTAATTTTTTTTTAAAATTAAAAAATTGTATTAAAAACAATTAAAAAGTTTTTCCAAATATAGCCTTAATAGACTTAAATCTTATAATATCTTAAAATATACCATTCATCATAGTTGAAATATGCTCAAATCACAACTTCAGTTTCATTTCCAACATCACTACTATATAGCAAACTAAAATGAAGCCAACTTAGAATTCTTCCAACACAAATGAAATTATATGTAAAATTAATTATGAAAACTTTTTTAAAAGATAAGTACATACTAAAGATTTTTTTTTCTTCTCAAAAAAAAAAAAAAAAAAAAAAGGCCAAAAACTTTCAGAACTACACATTCTAGTAGATTTTGAATGTGAAAAGCTTATTCTCACTGTAAAAACTACAAGAAAAATGATGAAATAAATCTAACAAAATATAGAGAGCAATGACTTCCATGTCTTACCTCTCTAACAAGTTTTACCAAAACAGATGCATATTTATTTTACTGTAAAAATATTTACAGCATGATTACAAAGGTGGAGCTCATATTTCCCCTACCAAGTTACATAAAATAATAATAAGGAATAATGATGACTCCCCCTTATACAGTCCCTGAATTACTATTTTAAATAAGAGGGAGGAACAAATTATCTAAAATTTAAGAGTAAATTTCTATAATATAGATAATTATAAGTTATTTTCTATAGATAATTACATAACTTTTTTTTTTCCACCACTATACCCTTTTTTATTCTACCAAAGATCTTATGAATGATTAGGATTTCGTTTGGGACGGTTTTTTTATGGTTTCATAAAGCAGCTATCTAGTATAAAAATTAACATTTTTATACTAGAAAGCTGCTTTAAAAAGCAGAAAAAAAAATTGTCCGAAACAAAGCCTAAATATGATAAAGCTACTATTGATGATGATGATACCTTCACAGCATCTTCTCAAAATTGTCAAGCTTCTTAACTCTTTGGAATGATCTTGCCAACAGCAACAAGAAAACACCTGAATATTGGGAAGCAAATATGTAGTCACAATCAGGCCATTTTTCCATTAAAAATATAAATTTATGCTTTACATTAGCACACTAGAACAATTATAAACATTTGAATTTCTCAAAAATATACATTTTGTAGCTATAAAACTAAAAACCAAAGCTCAATATCTCCCCCAAAAGGCACTCATATATAAAAAGAGCTAAGTATAATAGTTCTGCAAACTCATCTCATCATCTTTAACTCTGGCATGACATGCAACGACATCAAACCTACAATTCCATTATTCTTGAATCCTTTTTCACTACGTGAGGTTGGCTACATGAATCTTTTTTCATTATTGTGTCATGTTATAAATTAAATTCTCATTTAAATCTAATAAAGAAAGGCTATTTCTAATATTTTCTAACAAAATCTTTTAAGTCTTCCTCTACCTTTCTTAACTCGGCATGACATGAAGCTAATAAATTTAGGGGAAAAAAAGGCCATACAATTCCATTATTCTTGAGAAAATAAACCTAGAAGAGGTGAAATTATTCTATGCAGATGCCGAACGCTGTCCGGAGGCCAACCAGAATATGCCACGTCGCTCCCTGCTCGGTACCACTGACATGTCGCATTCTGGTTGGTTGCCGGACGATAAACTGCGTTTGGTGTCTGCACAGAATAATCCAGAAGAGACACTCAGAGAAGTTGTGACCCTTAGTCGAATAATTCATGGGTCATAACTATCCAGGTGAAGTCAATATGTGCATCATGAATATTTATTTACTCATTAGCAAGATACGTGTATGCAAACATGTGAATTGGAGAATTGGAAGTCCCCTTTTATTTCCATTCAATAATTGTAATCATTTACAACTAAAAAGATGACATGGAGCAAGGACCTGTTAATTCCACGGGAAGCCAAACTACGATCTTAAACAGGTTGAGAAGTGTCATAACACAACGGCATTGTTAAGCAAAGCAAATTACTTTGTTATGTAATGATCTCCACATGTGATTCACAACTCAAACGATGCAGTTTTGTAAAAAATCAGCTCAATGCTCCTCATTTCCAGGATAGGAGCGCTCATTTGTCAACCATTTTGCTAAAGGGACTGTTCATATGCATTCAGAACATCAAAACAATCCAAGAAGAGTATACGTACTGCACGAGTTGCAACTTGCAACACAATAAAACAATCTACATGTGAATAGAGACGAGGGAAATTTGCGAGTGAGAGCCATTAAAATTCGTGGGAAAGTTATAGTCGCGGCTCGTGGTGGATTGACTCAGGCGAAAGCTCTGGTAGCTCCCCGGAGAAGATATTGCAGAGGTAGCATATGGAGAAGGCTTAGGAAGCTCGCCGTAGAAGGTGGAACGGAGTTGAAAATCTGGATTCGGGAGAGGAGCTCAGTGAAAAGGATGAGCAGGAGCTTTTTTTATTATTATTTATTTTAATGACTAATGGCTGTAGTGAAGCATTTTTTCTTGAAGGAAAAGAAAACATTGTATCAGTTCTTTAAAGGCTGTAAGCCTATAATAATGAAGCAACAAATTTACCTTTTAACCTTCCCAAAAAAATTAACAGCTTTTAACTTTATTTTTTAAAAATACTGAAAAAATTGAAGATATATATTTTGATTATATTTAATATTAAAAATGTGGTTACCAGCTGGCTCGTGAGCCAACGAGCTGAGTTCAATCAAGCTCGAGCTCGTTTATCAGAAGAGCTGTAATCTGAGCTCAAACCGGAGCTCACTGAGCTCATGACTCAATAAGCTTGACTCACAAGCTTGTTAATGAGCCGAGATCGAGTCAGCTCTCAATTCAACTTGGCTCACTTACAACCCAAGTCTTAATCAACCTTTATAAAGAGCATCATATCATACCTTAATCGAGCTTTTTCATTTAAACCATATTTTTTATGATCATAAATAAGCCAAACAATAAAATATTCAAGCTTGTTCATTTATCAACCGAGTATTTATAAAAATGTCCAAATTTGTTAAATTAGTTAATTAAATAAATATAAACAAGCTTGTCCAACACACGAATAATTTGCAACCCCACTCTTACGTATCAACGTAGCAGAAAATGGAGACCAAAGATCCCCACGATAAATATATATTAATTAGGGGAGGAAAAAGAGTGTTGATGGATTTAATGGAGGCCACCCAATTGACCAATGTAATCACTATTCTCTCCATGATTAATAACATGTGGCATACAAATTAAGTAAGGGGATGCATTTAATGGGAGTATCTTAAAAGGCCTATAAAAGGGAGGGAAGAGTGACTATAACAGAGGTTTAATTCACGGCTCATGCTCCTCTTCCTCCCACTTTTAACATCCAAGTGAATTGTTTCTAATTTCACTCCACTCCTGCACAAGTTCTACATGAGCTCTACTCTCCCCCTTTGTTTCTCTATCTCCCTCTAGTTTACTATTTTACTCAGTCATTCACAAACATTTCATACCGGTGAGGAAAAAAATGAGAGCTTTAAGCACCTCACATGCAACCTACTCGTGCCATTTACATGTAATGAAAATCACATTTTTGGGTAGATTTTTAAGGATTCCAGGCATAAAACATCCCCCACAAATATCCATAAACATATTTATTAGTATGATGAGATGGATTTGGTAGGTCAAGATGTTCCATACTTTTCACCCATAGAGCTTCACATATCGGAGAAGGGGTGACGCAAAAGCCTTACTTATCATTCAGCTCATATGCACCTTTCCAGATGTGATGGAAAAATTCTATCCTCATCGAGGTGCTTGAAGTGCCACCATCTATGATGCATCGACACACCTACTTAAAGGGGAATGCAATGTTGGATACAGACACATGCTTGATATGACTAGGACACATGTCAGACACGACCTATGTGTCCGATTAAAATAAAATTTAAATTTAAACGAACACGCGTGTCATAATTATTTAGAATTAAATTTATTTAAATTATAAATTTTACAATTTTATATTATTTAATCAAATAAAAGGTGTTTAGGTGACCATTCAAACTGTATATCTCGTGAATACATGCCCGACTGCTCGTATGCCTTACGGTTTGCCTTTACACCATCGTTCTCCCTCGTCTTCTTCGTTTATGCGACCAAGCGAGCCGACCGAGCGGAGAAAGCGACGATTGAAGCTCGAAACCTCCTCCTTCTCTTGTCTTCTTCGTCAGTTCTTCTCTTCGACTATTTGTCATTTCTGTGACAAGGCGAGCCCAACCGAGCAAGTGATTGCCCTATTTTAAGCCCGGTACGTCCGACTATAGCCACTCTCTTCACTTGTTCGCCTTCGTCATTTTTGCAGTCACCAAGGGCTTTGAAGAGTTCCAACCTGTGTTTACTTTGTCGAAGAAAGAGATAGTGAGGTAGATACGTTCGTTTAGAATATATATTATCGACTTCTTTATTTCCGTAAGCAAGTGAGCAAACTATACATTACCAATTTATTCTTTTTTTTTTCTTGGAAATATTCCATATTTATTGAGATCATCTCTAAGGCTTTTTCATTCTAAGTGAAACTAGCAGCAATAGCTTTATGTGTATATCCGTTCTCCACTATATACACTCTTTTTGTATTCTTATGAAAAAATGACACTTCCTAAAGTGATACCTTTATCCACTACAAATCCAATTTATGATATATTGAGTGGCCAACAGATAAATCATATTTACATCGAATTTATGAAATGTGAGACTCCATGTTAGCTAAAGTGAAAGAAGTTATACATAGATATGAAAGAAAAGCATGAAGAAGACTCGGAGTTTATGGAGCGTTGTCTATACTATTCTTGAGGATAGGTGGAGCAAAACTGCAAAAGTAGCACACATCTTTATTGATTGACTCACTCATTAAATCCAAGGTAGATTTGAATATATCTTTTATAATTAATTTTTAATTTGTTGGATAGTGATTCTCTAATTTTACTTTCTTTGTATTCTTTGAATATATTCAAACATAGAATGGTTTCAAGAAGGTACATCATAGGCCTATATTTTTTATGATGGCTGTGACCCGTGTCCATGCATCAATGGACAACATACACTCGAGAAAGAAAATTTTGGCCACATTGTCCAACATATTTTCTGATACCCCTATTCATAGAGGAAAATTAGAAAATGCTATTGAAATTTACTTGAAAAATTTTTGTCATTAAATGATGCATCTTATAGCATGCAACATGGTATCAAAAATGATATGTAATGAGTTAGTAAGGTGCTTCTCTATGTTGATCTAGAGGGGTGTGACAACTAATCTAAAGAATACTTAAATTTGACTTCATTTAAAATTGAAGATCCATTCTTCAAAAAAGAGTTTGATGCATTATTCAACAATAGGTACCCAATCACAGCATGGTAGTCGGTTCACTTGATTTAGAAGGCTGTTTTTCTTGAAATCATTCAAAGAACTTCTAAAATTTTGAAAACTTAACATGAAGAAAATTAAATAAGCTTTTCACGCACTCTTCTAGTGCATGAAATTCAATTTTACTGACTACTAATTAAAGATAATAGAAGTGGGAATCTTAAAACAAGTATATAATTCAAGTACAAAAGGCAGTCCAAATGAAACCTTTTTTAAGGAAAAAGAAGTATCGAACTCCTTTGATCACCATTTGACAAGACATTCCAATGAATTTGCCCGATGGTTAACATAATAAATCAATTTGAATGGAGAATTTAAATAACATGGTAGTTCCAGCAACTTACCAGCACCAATGAAAGCTCCATTTGCAATAGTCTGATTTCCGTGGCTGCTTAAGTTAACCCCAACATTGAATAGAGTTCCACCCAAAGCTGTGTAAATAGTTGCCATCTGAAGTATAGTGGCTTTCCGTGCAGCTCTTTCAGACTTGTTATGCGCATCAAGTAATTGGTCAGTGCATTGATTGTAACAGAAGAAAAAATTGAAAAAAAAAACTTGCAATAGTTTTTTTTAAAGTAAAAATAAAAATAATTATAAGTTTAATCTTAAAATGAAGATGTTCCATGCACTTCACTCTCTAAATATTAATAGTATCCATGTCCCAAAAGTTACAAGTAATATTTGAAGTAAAATTAAAGGAATCCTTCCAGAATCCGTTCATACTTCATACCAGAGTAACAAGACAAAATATTTTATCTTCAGCGACTTAGTGTAAAAAAGATTGGTTTTGTAATGGAACTCGCAAATAAGTAGAAGATTATCGAGCCTGAAGCATCCATCTCAAGTCTAGAACACGATTAAGGGGGCATTTGTAAGATCAGTTTACCTAAATGTAAATTTAAAAAGAGCAATGGATTATACAAAAGTTGTTGCAAAAGCAGATCCTCTACATGCCAAAAGACAGTCCATGACAAATTACAATCAAGCATACAATTCTAACTATATATGTTTGACTGATAAAATGTGCATTTAGCACCAATATTCCATGCCAACAAATTAAAATGAAGAATTTTTTTACCATCCTATACATTTAATTATTTCAATCACAAATTCACAGCCACAATACCTAAGTTAAAAATGGATTTCAGTTTGCCACAATACCTCAAGAACTCTGACTCTAAGTTTCAAATCTCCTGATTCAAGTTGCTTCACGAACTCTTCTACTTTCTGGATTCTATATGGCATTGACATTGTGTAATCCCTAGCCTGTCATTACAAAAAAAAACCAAAGCATCTTTTGGAATTCATTATATATGCATGTTTTTTTTTTAATTCTTCCTCGCAAAATATATGATGAAAGTTCATGCAAACTGTTAAAAGTGCATTAATTAAAATAAAAGATAAACATTTTTCTTTTTTTTTTGAAAAACATGGAGAAAACTCGGTAAAAGAAAAAAAAAGTTACAAGAAAATGGGAATCAGTTAACAAAAACAAAGAAAATCAAGTACTGATTCTAAAAACATCTTGGGCATTGTCAGGGAGATTTCAAGCCCTTCTTTTATCCAAGATTTAATGAGCCTTGATATCAAGACAGACTATCCAAAAATAAATATAAGATAAAATATAAGATCAACTACAAAAAAAAAAAAAAAAAAAAAAAAAAAAAAAAAAAAAAAAAAAAAAAAAAAAAAAAAAAATCTACACATGCTATACACCTGAGAATATAAAAAAAGAAGAAAAAAATCTACCAAGCTACTCAAGCGTGCAAATCAAAATATAAACGATACTAAAGAGAGAAAGAAAAGCCTAAAAAGAAACAGTTTATCAAATTCTTAAAATTTAAGCCTAAAAAACTAAAAAGATTGTACACCATAAATTAATCCATTGCAATATTCATAGCTATTTTAGTTTCTAACTTGCAGCTTGATAAAAATTGGACATCTTAAGGCCATGTTTGGATTCTCTTATGTTATTTTTTTTTAATTTTCAAAATAAGCACTTAAGTGAAAAAATGTGAGATTTGAAAATTCCAAGCTAGTTCTATTCATATATTCTCATGGTCAATTTTTCATAAGACGTTTTAGATATTGAATAAGGCACTACCTAAAGATTTCACCCTATAATAATAAGGTAATTAATTATCCCCGATCATGATAGAGAACTTTTGATTTAACCTAGTTTACCGTTTCTGTTCAGCTTTGTAATAACAATTCTAATTGGATGAGAATATACTACAATTAGCTCAAAGCCATGGGGAAAACGACAACAAACTAGAACAAAGTTCCATAATTCTGTAATCCAAAGTTGTCATGGACAACATCAACTTAGTTAATAGAGAGTCAATCTAACATGGACAAACAATCATTGTTAGCAAGTATAGCTTTTGTCATCCAAGGGGATTGTTGGCTCAAGAAAAAAAATGGCACGTCAGCATCAATCCCGCTTTGCAGACATAGGATTTCATTCCCCTTAAGTCATATTATAGTTAACCAAATTTTCCCTGAGGGTAGTGTTAGAGTTTAGTTAGATCTGAGTCCTTACTTCCCATGAGCGCAAGCACTCATAGTTAATTACCCCTCTTAACACGTAAGTGAGAACTCTTGATTAAGGATGAACAATTTTTAGGTATTTTAGTCTCAGTTGTGAGAGAAATAGAGGTAAACCCAATCAAATATCTCATGGTTCCATAGTCCCGGGTATGCCATAGGTTTCAGTCTATCAACACTAATAATCATTGATTGTAGTGTCTAAGGAATCTGATTAGCAATCATGTGTTGCCTCCTCTCAAGGATCCTGAATAGACTGAAGTGATTATAGGTGGGTCATAATTTTATGGAAGTTTGAGATTTACATCTGTTAGAATACGAAGTGATTAATTTAATTTGGGTTTTGCTGACATCATTTAGAAGTTACCTGATTAACTGAATTGGTCCGGGGCTTACGGTTTCTATAGGAAGTAGCATGATTATTTGAATTTAGGTTGAGACTTACGGTTTCCATTGAAAGTTATCCAAATAGCAGGTCTTACAACTTCCTTTGAACGACGCCTGACTATTTTGGATAGGTCTTGCGGTTTCTGGATTTCAGAAGAAGACTTAAAGTGGGTACAACCTAACTCTATAGAAGGCTGCTCGTTCATCTTGATTTTTTGAGTTTTAGGGTTATTGCACTTTATTTAGCAAGTTCCCTAACATCTGGATCTTACGACTTCACTAGAAGTTGCCCATTGGCGGGTCTTAAAATCTAACCCTATAGGCCAAGCTTCTCATTAGGTTTTGTTTGGTTAGATCTAACAACTTCCCATAAAAGTTGGCAGTAGCTTTTTTTTTCCAGAACAAGTCTTACTGCTTCCCAATGGAAGTAGCCCAATTGTGGGTCTTACAACCTAAGCATATAGGCTAAGCTGCCCATTAGGTTTTGGTTGTTTGAATAGGTCTTACGACTTTTCTTTGAAAATTGTATGTATATTTCGTAGGACTTATTGTTTCCCTTTGGAAATAGCCTATTTGTTTGTGTTTGTTATGTGTGAAATATGATTGTGTTGATCAAACCCCATGCACCAAATTTTTTTTCCATACAACGGCCCACTGTTGCATACCTGAGAGCCCTGGCGCTGTGTTCCCGAGCGCCCCAGCGTCGACAGAGAGCAGAGCACCGCAACAGCCTAGATATGTCGGCGCAACGGTGAAAGACAGAGGATTGAGCGCCGCAGCGCAACGAGATGGACTAAATGGTTTCTTTCTCATTTTTCTGAAGGGTTGCATCCCTTGGGGTTATTTTACTTGACTTTCTCTTGTATTTTGAGTAGTTAGGCATTTAGAACAGTGTATGTAAGAAGAGAAAGAAGGTGAGAGTGAGAGAGAAGACAGATCTATACTTATTTCTCGTAATTTTCATTGTGGATTTCTTGATTTGGTGTGACTCCGTGATTTTTTCCCTATTTTTAATTTTTCCACATTAAATCTTGATGTCCTTCACTTTTACGCTACTTTTACTTTCTTGCTTATTTCATCTATGTGGTGTTTACTCCATCTCATCTTCCCCAACAGTGCTTAGGGTAGATTAGACAGTAGTTACCTTAGTTCAATTCTTTACTGTCTTCACACCAGTGGTTTTTCTTTTAATACCAATTTTTTCTTTCAAAGCAACCTTTTTCACTAATCATAGTGTATTTAATATCTGACTACAGAGATAATTAGGCAAGCTTAAGAGAAGAATTTACTATACCTTCTTGAAGATAAGAACAACATGTCATATTCTTTCATCACCACTTTCAATAGATAAATTATGAGAAAATCATTATAGAAAAGGACATGTCTCTTTCAAAATCTTATATAATATGTTTCATTTTTTTTTAAGAATGTACACTGAAGTGAATCAAATAAGAATTGCACGGAAATATTTAAAAGGATTACAAAGCTTGCAACTTAAGATGAAGATTTCGTAGGATTAGATTAAAGAACTTTCAGTCGTCAATTTTATTGTAGTAAGCAGCTACAATTCAAAAGTTTAAGGTAAGATAACTCCGAAATTATCACAGAAAAGCAAATATCTTGTAATACAATCCCACGGTTAATATTTAGAAAGTTCACTATGAGTTACCATGCTCACACACACTCAAAGTATGGGGGGGGGGGGGGGGGGGGGGGGGGGGGGGGGGGGGGGGGGGGGGGGGGGGGGGGGGTCGGCTAGGGGAAGAAGAAGTAAGTTTAGTCCAAGGGAGGAATAGAGTTTTAATCTAAACCTGAAATTAATTTCAGGTTTAAGTGAATTTGGAGGGAAAACCAATTTGGAATTAGGTTCAAATTTCAAATGAGGTCAAGGGGGTTAATGGACAATTAATGGGGAGTCCATCAAGGGAGGCCGGCGGGTTCAAGAGGGGAGGAAGGGGGTTTTGTTTCCAAATCTGAAATTTAATTTCAGATTTGAATGAAATTGAGGGGGAGATAATTTGAAAATTTATTTCAAATCAATGGGCCATTAATGCCTTGATTGAGGGGATTAATAGGAGAGGGACACATGCATCGCCAGCGGCATAGAGAGAGGGACGTGAGTGGGGAAGGAATTGGGGAGTTTCCAAAGAGGGATTGTGGATTAGGAAAGTTATTATGACATCCAATTTGTTTGAAATTTAAATTGGAGTCATGAAAAAACTTTCATAAATAGGAATTCCCAAAATTGGAAAGTTTTGAAATTCAAAATTTGAATTTCAAATTGGTTCAAAATTTCCCTCTCATGCCTAACTAAATTTAGAAGGTCGCATGATGATTGAAATCATCATCACAATGGGAAAGGGGATTGGTGGGGCCGGCGGCAAGAGGAAGGGGATGGGCGGGTTGATGCTTGCCGTCGGGCTTTGGTGGTTTTGGTGAAGGTTGGATTTGGGTGGGGAAGTTAGGAGTGAAAGGATGCGGGGGATAAGGGGAAGGATATGTGGCCTGCGGCTTGGGGGAAGGAAAAGATGAACGGAGATGAAGGAGGTGGACCACGAGTCACGGACTCTTCCAATGACTGGTGGGTATTGCGCTCGCCCTTACCTCGGGTTCTCTTTCTTCTCTCTAGTCACACACAAGATGACGAAGAAGAAGACAACAACAAAATTTTCATTCAAAATATTCATCATCCTCATTAGAATAGAAATAATCTATATATAAGTCTCAACATAAAAGAAGAAACAAAGACTAAATTGCCCTCAGGGCTACAACATGACTCAACTCATAATAGGGGTACAATAGGAAGACTCAAAGAAAATAAAATACATAAATATTTAAAAATATAAACTCTGAATCGTGGCCGTCAATTTGCGATGCTTCCGGCGATACACATGTTTGAACCTCTGATCGATGTCCTCATCATAAACATTGAAAAAGTCCTTCATTGTGAGGCTTATGAAATCACAAAACCACATCGTATTTTTTCTCTGATATTAATGACTTGATCGCCCAAAGTCACAATCCCCTCACTAGGTCTATTACTACTAAAATTGCACTCCATATATTCCGTTTTAGATCTACTCAAGCGAAAACCTTTAGACTCTAAAGTTGACCTCCATAATTCAAGTTTAGGTATTTTTTCTCTGACAATGATTATAAATTCTCTACCCCTTCACGTTAATTCATTCTAATATTTGGGGACTTAAATCCTAACTGGAGTCATGATTTATCATTTTTATTGATGATTACACCCAAATGACATGGATATATATAATTAAATAAAAATCTGATGTTAGCTTTATTCTCCCTGCAATTGTTGCTATCATTAAAAATGAATTAAATGCTGACATTAAGATATTTCATACAAATAATGCTCCTAATTATTTTAATTAGACATTATATTCTTTCTTCTACAAAGAAGGTATCATTCAACGATCCTCCTAACTAGATACCCTAAATAAAATGGGTGACAGAAAGAAAAAATCATTACATTTTAAAAGTTGTGATGACTCTTCTTTTCCAAAATTAAGTTTCAAAAATATATTGAGGAGCATCAGTCCTAACCACAACATATCTAATCAATCGAATACCCTCGAGAGTACTTGGTTTCAAAAATCCCCTAAACTACCTTGAAGAATTCTTCCCTACAAATAATTTCCTCAAAAATATTCCTCTAAAAATATTGGGTGCATTACTTATATCCACATGCAAACAGAGATTCCTTAAAAGGAAAGTAATTAAAAGAACAAGTTTAATCCAAAAAAAATTAACAGCTAATCCATAAGAATATGGTATTAATAGGTGCAAAACAAACTCTACTGATGATGAAGCCTATAAAAGTTTCCAAACTGAAAGAAAAAAATGATTTTAATAATAAAGAGAAGCATTCAATCCAACTATGTATAAACATTATAAAAATAGAAAGCTATTGGGGCATACGTTATTAGCTTGTTTTCTAATCTCATTAACGAGCTCTGCTCCAGTTGGTTGCTTTTGTCGGATGTCCAGTAATTCCTGAAATTCCAGCAGGAACAATGAGAATCAATTATGAGCAACATATTTCAGGTCAAGGAATGGTTTATATTGGAATTAAGTTATGAACCATAATCTGGACTTATAGCCGGGGCAAAAGAAGAATACTGAGAAAAGTATTGAAGAATCCATTTGCTCGTGCTAGAAAGAATTATTTTGAAGGCTATTTTTGTGCTTTCGCAATTGAAGGAAAATTTAGAGATAAACAAAAGGATTTAAACATTTTTATTTTTATCAAAGAAAAAAAACATATAACCAAATCCTATGAAAATTGATTTATAGTAAACATTGAAGCAACCAAGATGCGCAAAAGGGTAGGTTATGACGGAGCTACAGTTAAAATTTTAAGAGGGTGACCGTGATAAAAAGCTTCCAATCATACTAGGTTACATGTAGGATCAAGATTCAGTTAGTCACTTTGTGTTTTGGTTATTGAGATTCTTACATAAGTTATTCAATATGAGAATATTGGCGTATGTTTTTTGTAAATGGTAAAGTAATTATAAGTAATACGTACTCTGATATAAAGGAGAAATTAAAAAAAATGCAAAAACTTCAAAAAAAGCCTAAATTTATGAAATCAACAACACTATTATCATCATATAATATTTTATTAAATGTGAAATTAATAATTATTAGGAAAATTATAGAAATATGATACATTGATGTGACAAATTTAACTACCTTGGGACATGTACAAAAGAATGGGGTGCCAATAAAAACAATAGCATTAGCATATTATTTTAGGAAATTTTCCTATATGTACTTAAGTGGACTATATTTATCGTATTGTACCTTTAGATATTGTATTCAATACCCCTATTATAAGAGGATATATTGCTAAAAAAGATACAAAAATTATTTTCTCCAAACATGATATTAGAGCAGGGTTAGCCTTAAATCTTGCCTCTTTCCCTAGCACCCTCTATAAGAGAATATATTGCTAAAAAAGATACAAAATTTATTTTCTCCAAACATGATATTAGAGCAGGGTTAGCCTTAAATCTTGCCTCTTTCCCTAGCACCCTCTGTTAGCCCTTTCAATCCTTAAATGAACCATAACCCCAGCCAAGACCATAGTGACCCACAACCTGCATGTCTCTCTATGACTAAAATCCTTAAGTAATGAATCATAAGATATACTTGAGAAGTCAATTTAGCCCAAATTGATCAATTAGGGTTAAAATTGAGCCTGAATTGGGTTCGACCCGAACCGATTTGGGTCAATTCAGGTCCGATTGAGTCAATTTTGAGAAAATGGACTCGAATCGACGCTGATTTACGTCAAATTTGGTTCGGCGATGCTCGATTGGGTTTGATTTGGATTGATTTGACTTTAATTCCGTAAAATTGAGTTTAATTTGATTAAAATGAGGTTCAATTTGGGTCAATTTATGTTAGACGGCGCTTGATCGAGCGCGATCGAGCCCAATCGGGCTCAAATTGGCTTGATTGGGACCGGGTTGATGCAAAAAGCACGTCAACAAGCAACATTCTTGGGGTAATTTGTTGAGACCTCTGATACCAAATGACATTGGAATCTGATATGGAGAGAAAAAAAGAGGGCATCAATTATTGCGGCCTGGAAGGCAATGGATAGCAGTTTTGTAGCCTGGGAAGGGAGATGCACAGCAGTTCCACAATTTGGGATTGGTCAAACAGCAGCTCAGTGGTCTGGGAAGGAGTGAACAGAAGCTGGACAGCCTCCAGCGGCCTTAGAGCATTCTGGGCAGCAGCCGAACAGCCTATTGTTGCTGTTGGAGAAAGGCGGGCAGCAATCTCTTCAGTTTCTAGGGAAGAGGAAGAAAGGAGAAGGGGGAAGACAACCTATCTGGTTGTTTAGGAGAAGCAGAACCACCACCGGGCTTGGCCAGCATACAGAAATTGAGAAAGAACCTATGGGAAGAACTCAAATCTTCTTCAATTATCAAAAATTGAATACAAGAGGGGGAGGTAGTTCTTATTTATAAGGAAAAACTACCTCTAGAAGCCCAAAAAATTAGAAAACAAAATTTTAAATGAGATTACAGAAAAAAATAATAATAAAACTGAAGCAAAAGGAAGAGAAAAAGAAAAAGTCCTGATTGGCTTGAACCGGTTTGAGCCCAACAGCATCCCAGTCCCCGCATCAGAGGGATTATGATGCTTTTTATTATCATTAATGTGTTGGTAGATTGATCTATATTATTGTCATCAAACAATACAACTCCTTTCATACATGTGTTAACATATTAAAACTCCCAAGGTAAACATTGGGAAGTTGATATGCATATCCTCAATTATATCAGTAAGGCACCAGGGAAAAGACTATCATCGTATACAAAGAATGTACATCTTAATGGAATCATTTTCTTATGCTAGTTATGTTGGATAAGTTTATAGAAATTTCCTATTTGGGCAAATGCAAATTTCTGGATCGCATGGAGGAGAAAGAAACAAATAGTAGTGGTGGCCAGATTGAGCATTAAGGCAAAATACAGAGCTATAACAGATTATGTTAGTTGAGAACCCCACAGGGGAATTTTGATTTCCAATTGCACAACTTAAGGTCTTAAACCATGACAAACTCGTCATCATCAATATACCAGTAACCTTCTTGTCTTCCATGAAAAACTAAACATATTGAGGCTGGAATTCACTATATTCATGGTGCAATACTATCAAAAGAAGATTGCAACATATGTTTCAAAGTCAAACTATATGGTTGAGATATTTACCAAGGCACTGATTCCAATTTAGCTTTCCAAACTGTGATTGATTGGAGTTCATTGATGCGTATGCTCTAGCTTGAGAGAAAGAACATTAAGAAAGTTTTCTATTTATAGTTAGTGGATTATGTCAATTTTATTGTACCTATAAACATTATATTCAGTTCACCCATTAGGTCCTCAGTCCTCATACTAAATAATAAAAAAAATTTCTTTTCTCTCAACAAAGGGCATAACTTGTAAATTAGGTAAAGCTGTTCAAAAACTGGCCACTTTGGTGTACTTAGAAGAATAAGAATATACTTATATACCTAAAGTTTCATTAAACTACAAATAAGTCAACTATTTTATATGGATTGAAGTGTTGGAAATAAAGAAAAGTTACTTGAAACCAAGTTTAGTGCAAGAAAAGAGAATTTTCAGATGAATGTTAGGTCAAACAATCCAGGACATAGTGATTAATCATTATATTAGAAAAATAATGCAAATAAAACCTGTAAGAGATAAGATGGTAGAAAATAAATTAAAATTATTTGGGGAACTGCAATACATAATCGAAATTGCACCAATAAGATAATTAGACTGAAATAATGTGAAAGGTTGAAAAAGATGGTAAAATAAATTTGACAATGGTAAAAACTGTGAGGAAAGACTTATGAGAGCTTAAAGTTTAGGAAACAAACAAAAATCATTTCTTTATTTACCAAAGGAGGAATGAATGGAATAGGCTTACTGAGCTTAAACCCAAATAATTGGAATAAGCTCATAAATATGATGACATTTCAGGTCAGGAAAGATAAAGTAACCCTACCACAGATAGAAGATTTAGTTTGAAATCAAATTAAACTTAAAAAAAACTTGAGATAATCCACTTGTATACAACAAGACATACTTTTGCATAAGGTGCAGCAACTTTGATAAATGAAAATTCCGGATCTAGTGTATATCCGATACCTGAAAAAAAAAAAAAAAAATGAAACCAGAAGAAAAGTTCACTTAGATACACTGCAAGCAAATTGTTACAAATGAAGGATTCAGTTTTCAGAGGCCACATATATCTGATAAAAGATGAAAAGTTAGCGAAATAAAAAACAACAACATCAAGCCTTTATCCCACTACGTGCGGTCGGCTATATGAATCATTTTTCTTCATTGTGCCATGTTAAGAGTCAAATTTTCATTTAAATCTAATAAAGAAAGGTAATTTCTAATATTTTCTAACCAAGTCTTTTTAAGTCTACCTCTACCTTTATTAAAATATGTTAAATCTAATACATCTACTCTCCTAACTATCCTAACTAGGTCATTGCAAGGTCGTTGTTTTATGTGACCAAACCATCTAAGGCGACTCTCTCTAATCTTATCTGCCACTGGAGCTACTCCAACCTTTTTCACGTATATGCTCATTTCATATCCTGCCTCTAAGAGTAAAGCCACTCATCCACCTAAGCATCCTCATCTCTGCAACACTTAACTTAATATAACGCTTCTCTTTTAATGGCCAAAATTCTGTGCCATAAAACATTGCAGATCTAACCACCATCTTATAAAATTTTCCCTTAAATTTGAGTGGCTTTTCCATCACACAACAAGCTCGATGCATTCTTCCACTTCATCCATCCAACTTGAATTCTACTAATATAATATCCCCATCTATTTCACCATCACTCTGAACAATAGATCCAAGATATCTAAAACGTGTACTCTTATTAATGACTTGATCGCTCAAAGTCACAAACCCCCCGCTAGATCCATTACTACTAAAATTACACCTTAAGTATTTGATTTTATATATACTCAAACGAAAACCTTTAGACTCTAATTTTGATCTCCATAATTCAAGTTTACTTTCAACTCCCTCTTTAGTCTTATCAACAAGAAGAATATCGTTAGCAAAAAAGCATACACCAAGGAACATCCTCTTGCAAATCTCTAGTAAGAACATCCATGACTAAAGCAAAAAGATATGGGCTTAACTTTGATCCTTGATGTAATCCAACTGAAATTGGAAAATACTTACTCAAACTACCTTGTGTTTAAATCATTAAAATCAAAAGCAAAAATGCAGTCTTCTTTTATAATTCATAAGAAGTTTTTTTAAAGGAGTCCATCAAAATCCTTCTTGATCTAGCTGCGAAAGGTTGCTGCTAACTAAAGCTACGGGGATGCTGCAAACTAAAGCTTCTGGACCAACATTCAACATACAACATCTTGATAGCCAAAAGATAAAATAAGAGGAAACTCAATTGAAAAAAAAAGATAGACAAGTCTTTGAAGGTTTGAAGCTAAGGGGAACTCATACAAAAAGCTTGGTCATAATCAAGCAGTGAAGGAAAGACCTAAGCACCTTCAAGAAAGAAAAAACCATTACAATGAATGCAATTGAATCATCACATTGTCTTGAATTCCTCACTCTTTCAGCCTACAAATGCATCATCTATAGAATTTTAAGACGCCAATACTAATCTTACACTAGAAGTTATAATACAAGATGAAATTATATCCATTATTGATGATGAATATCAACAAAATCTTATGTATCGAAAGAACATGCATGCAAAGACCCATGGATTTTTATAAAGAAGTTAAAATACTTATGGCTACAGCTAAGGTTTAAAATTGCGTAAATAAGGCTCGAGGCTGTTTTCATCCGTGAGGCGAGGCATAAGCCTCAAGGCGGAGTGAGGCGTAAGCCTCACGGACGCAGAATTGCGTAAATGAGAATTTAAGGGTTTTAGCATGTAAATAATAGCAAGATTCTATCATACAATAAAAATATCTAAATGACAAGTGGAATTAGTGGAAATTAAGAAAAGAGATGCAATAAAATCATGTTCCAAAGTAAAAAACCATAAAATTATAGTCAATTAGAACTCCAAAGTACAATTAAGAAGAAACAAATAAAATCCAATCATATCCCATCACAAAATGAGTCTTCAAGAGAATCTTATTCTCCAATTGTATCTATGAATGTCATATCTTCATCATCTTCAATGTGACTAACTTTTTTCTTCCCTGTTTAATAAGAATGATCATTATCATGTTAATTGCTCACTTGATCTGCTTCGCCCCTCAAGACATCCACACTTAGATCCTCTAGCTGTAAGTCTGATAATGACAAATCTGTCTCATCATCTATGAACCACCCATTATCAGATGACACATCATCACACACCAACTAAAATGCAACTAAAGGACAGCAAAAGGGCAACTAAAGGGCACCTAAAGGGCAACTAAAGGGCACCTAAAGGGCAGCAAAGAGCACCTAAAGGGCAGCTAAAGGGCAACTAAATGGCACCTAAAGGGCACCTAAAGGGTAACTAAAGGGCAGCAAAGGGCACCTAAAGGGCACCTAAAGGGAAGCTAAAGGGCACCTAAAGGGCAACTTGGGGTGTGACATTGATAATGATTTGCATTACACAAATGTCATAACATAACTACTGGTTGCAGGGCGAATAACATACCAAGTTATGTCCAATCTTTGAGGCGCACGCCCCAAGCAAAATTGGGCAATTGCGCACTTGAGGCGCACCTCACAATGCTTGAGGTATACCTCTGGTAAGGGCAAAATTGCGCAAGCCTCAAGGCGTATTTGGGATAAATTGCGCAGAGGCACGCCTCAAGGCGCGCCTCTTATTGCGCAATTTTAAACAGAGGCTACATCTACTTAACGAATATCCACTAAATAATATATTGGAGCTAAACTTTCAAAGTCAGACATAATTGATGCAAAACTTAAAATCTGCCATTATAGAAAATGCAAATTGTGTGTTAAGCCGAACATTTTCAAAGATTAACTTTTTATTTTACTTTAGTTTTAGTTACTTTTAACCAAGTAGGAGGTATAATTTCAGTAAATATTTGCATCTACATGCTTATGATAGTACCTTTGCTAATGCGTAAAATTATTTGGTTTTTTGGACTTGACTTTTGTTCACTCGATTTATTTAGATTTTGTTTTTGTAAACTGCTCTTTAGATGGTTTGGTCATATAAAAAGTCGGCCTTTGATATGAAATACTTGAGTTCGCAAGTAATCCTATCAGAAATACTTGAGTTCGCAAGCAACCCTATCAATAAATTGGTAAAAATAGCAAGAAGAACACAAGAATAATAAAAAAAACAACCCAGAAGCAGTAGATTTTATTAGATAACTAAAAACAAAGCAATATAAGCAAAGATACAATTGAACCACTATTCGAGAGGAAGATCGCTCTCTCCCAATCTGTGGACACTAAGAGACTCCAAAGGAAAACAATATTCAAGCATGCCCTATCCCTTCCCTTTCATGCCTATTTATAGCCATAGCCCCTTACAGTCTATGTTAAGAAAGATAAAAATAGATCTAAAAAACTTGGTTATAAAGTATTAAAAATGTCATTTTTATTAGATTCATTTGAATGTTAACAAAACACAATTGAGAAAAATAATTCATGCAGCCAATCCCACTTAGTGGGATAAAGGTTGATGTTATAGTGGTTGTAGATTACCCTTACAGTCTTTGAATTAGCAATAAAAGAGGTATGTCATAAATATAACATTTGGAGTCAACTTACTCCAATAAGAAGTGTCTTCCTTCTATTACGATTTCATATACACGATTTCTAACATAAAGGATATGCTACCATTGGCCTTACAATCTATACTTTAAGTTTTTTGTATGATTTCAATGGTTGTCGTCTATTTTATTTAAGTAGTTTTAGTTACTTTTAACTTATGAGTTATAGTTTTAATAAAGGCATACATATACATGCTTACGATAGTACCTTTACTAGTGCATAAAATTTATTGGTTCTTTGAACTTTCTATTATGTTCTTTTGTTCGCTGGATTTCCTTTGATACAAATTTTTTTCTTGTAGACTGCACTTACAGCTCTTTGCATTAGCAATGAAAGAGGTATGAACATTTGGAATTAACTTATTTCAAAACGTAAAACCCGAAAACTACATTAATAGGTCGTCGCACGCTTTTCAAAGCGCCGCGACGAGTTTTAAGAGAAATTTTCAACATTAACGGAATTTAACGAAAATAATTTTAGAAAATCCTACGCAAAATTCTGATCATTTTGATATATAACACATATATCCAATTTTGCCTAATTTTGGAGTTAAAAATATAAGAAGCCTAAAAATACCTATTATACCCTTACTTAACCCTTAAACCGAAATTACTTAAGTGAGGGCATAATTGACTTTTGGCAAATTCCATTTTCTCCCTATTAAGCAAACCGAGCCCTCCTTCCACTCACATTTCACGCGAACGACCGAAACCGAGCGGACGGTCGGGCAGACGGCGGCTTCCGCGAGGGCTTTCTGGCGACGATCTTTCGGCGAAAATTTTAGTTCAAATCGAAGAGGATGTCGAGAGAAACGCTCAGGTATGATTATTTTAAAACGAAACTTTCTAGATCTCTAGATTTTTTAGAATGAAATTTTTAGGGTTTTATAGATTTTTGTGTTTTTCTTCCAAATTTTGTTACGAAATCAATAGGAAAGATTTAGGGAAGTAATTTAAGGGTAGAAACGAATTTTTCTCACTTTAATTTGAGTTTTTGCAAGATTAGGGTATTTCCTAATCTATGATTTTAAGCAAATCTTTTTACAATTTTTGTTCCTTAAGATATAAGGAATGCTTTAATAATGAAAATTTTGCTTTTTACGAAAAAAATTATTTTTCTTAATTTCCTAATTATTTTAATCCGAAAATTTAATTTATAATTATAAAAATATGTTGAGGATTAATTTTAGAGCAATGTTTTGATGAAATTGAAGATTTATGAATTTCCGAAAATTTAGATTTAATTAAATCCGAAAATTTAGGTTTATTTAATTAAATATCCATTAAGTGTCGTAGGGATTTGTTAAGGGGAAATGAAAGATCAAGACTTAGGAATTTGATTATTGAGTTTTGTAACACGTCTCTTTTATAAATTTCTTAGATTGTGATCGTTGAAG